CCTCCCTCATACTTGGTGTCCTCACAAGTTATGCATCGCTTCATGACTCTAAGGTCCTCATAACATGTTCTCTTAGACCAAACCTTGGCAAGCTAGTTGGACCAATATCACACTAGCCCTTACATACACATTTTGCCATGAGATAACAACGATTGCCTTACAAATAATGTCTATAAAGCCATGAACACTCCATGAATGTAGCCTTCAGTTATATGTACTTTAGGTAAGAAGATCCCAAGTGTCATCTTTAGCCATGAACTCCCAAGACCAAGGGCCTCGTGATACTCACTCCCACAATATTGTGTCCTCCTGGCATGTGCATACATATTTAAAATTTTAAATGTTAAGATTTACAAAAGCTCTACAAATGTTTTCATGATGTTTCACTATCCGTAGCATGTCTAAAGCTTACCAATTACCATATGCTTTTCATGATGTTTTAATGGATGTTTTTTCTTTCAATTGAGATTTATAATGATGTTCAAGATTATATTAATGGCCCTTGAGCCATAAATGTTGGTTTCCAAAATATCATAGGTTTCTAAGCACCTTGTTTTCACTTAATGATTTAGACCTACAAGCGAAAAATTGAGAAAAGGGCCAATGAGCCAAGAACATAAAGCAAAGGCCAATGAACCAAGGATTATGGAAAGAGCATGTGAGTCAAAGATGATAATTTAATGAAATGGGCAAAAGGGGTCCAAGATATATGCTTTATATTTTAGAAGCTCTCTCACAAATTGAGCGTTGGCAAAAGGATTCAATACCCGAAGCTACACATTGTTGGTGTAGGGTATGGTTGCCCAAGAGGCTTGGCAGCTAGATAGTCAAGTCTCCCACATAGTCGGGATAACAGACTCAAGGATACTGTTATACACATAAGGTCGTCGATCCAAGCGGCAATCCTGGTGAAGACGGCTCAGTCGATCAGGTGTTGATCGAATGCAATGTCGTACACATGGTGACTACTATGTATTTATGGAAGTCCGTGACTAGGATCTCCCTACAGAAAGATTATATGTATGTTAAAGCTAAAAGTATGTTATCCATTTAATGATTTTACGTTTATTGATATCGTTTATCATTATGGTTTGCTTAAAGATTTAAAGATATGTTCAAGCTAAGAGTATTGTGTTTATTTACAGCTTTTATGATTTTCGATACCGTTTTCCTTATGCCTATACAATGTTGAATACCATTTTTCATGTTATCTCATATTTACTTTAGCAGGCTATGGTATGTCCAATTCTTCCATATGACTTTCCTCATATCCATTTACAGTGTTATAGTGCCCTATAATATTCTGTTTACTTTACATACGAGTACAATTTCATATGTACTTATGTCCCTTCTTACTATGTTGGGGACGTTGCCTTTCACGATGCCAGTTCAGGTGTTCAGAAAAATAAGTTTACTTGATAGGCATATTAGTTTGTATTCAATTGGAGTTGGTGAGACCCACGTCTTATATGGGGCCAATTTATGCCTATGATGTATTTTAATTTTTTGGGTACGCCGGGGCCATATGTTTTGAAATCAACTCAATTCGTCTTAAATATGGGTTTATATCATTTTATATGTTCAGAGGATTTGTTATGTTATTTTATGAAAAGAAGGTTTTAAATTACCTTTACTTCTATATTTCCGCTACTTGATAGAGAGTTGTTCTTATGTGACTCATGCATACTATTCCGCTTTTAGATGTGATGTCATTTAAATGTTTTGTATGAACATGTTCATATAGAAGGGTTCGCTCAGTCAGGTTAAGGCACTGGATGTTGGTCTGCCCAGGCCTAGGTTCGGAGCATGACAGCTAGTGTAAGATTCATGATTGCAAAAGGCTAAGGAAACATATTACTTCTTGGACTCTTGGGATACAGCTTGAGTGTGCATTGAAATTCAATGGCACAGATTGAGCATTGGAATTTCAGCATGAAAGAATAAATTAGAGTTTTGGTCATCCATAGAAGAAGCTGGCATTAATTCACCAGCAGCATAAAAAGTGCTGATTCACCTGCAATTTATGGTTATCACCAACAACAAGTGGTGCTTGATTCACTCCCAGGAAAAAAACACATTCACGACAGTTGGCGATACAGATACGTTTAGCCGCTGCTATTACATGCACACGTTCACAATGTTCAACTCTTACAGCCTGTAGAAGACATTTTAAAAAGGGAAAATTTTCATCACATATATAGAATTGGACACATAATGGCGAACCAAGTGCAGTCATAAATCAGTTAACAAATAAATGTAGAGAAAACTGTGTTACCTAAAATACCTCAATGCAAAAAATTAAACACCTCAAGTAACTGTTCACTTTGAATATTGAGACTTCAAAATTCAAGGATAATTCAAACAACATATAGAATTCGAGTAATCAATTTCAAGTACATGACAAGGTTAACCAAATATTAGTTATAAATAATGTGTAGAACTCTAGATACTTCACAAAGATAGTTTTTCATAAATTAAATGCCCTAACAGTATCACACATTGGAATGCACTACAGAAAAAAACCATAGTACTGCTCTTACAGCATAAAGTTAAACAGAATAACTGTGAGAAACAAACAAATAATAACACATGATATACATACATCATATATAGGATATTTACAAGGAGTTGTTTGCAATGCAGGATTAGAGTTACTTTAACAAAAACTTTAACAATCTGAATACCAACTTAACAAGGAAAATCTTCCTGAACTCTCACATTCCTTACCTTGCCAACAGCTCCCAAGACAATGGTAGCATCAGAGCATCCATATACTGTAGCATATGTCAGCGGTGCTAAAATGTAAAGGACTGATTCATGACAATTGACAACCTGAAAGGAAAAAAGGGAAACGTAAGGAGCAAATTTCAATATTGATTTTAGTGTTAAAACCCCTCCTTTTACTAACTTAGATGTCTGCACAAAGCATAAAAGAGAAGTTGATACGATGCTACAGCATTTGTTGGGTTACAAAGCCAGAAGTATTAGTCAACAAACAAATAACATTCATTTAAGCAAGGGAAAAAGACAGTAGGAATTTTACCAGTGTAAAAGTCATTTCATGTTTTAATCCACAAATTAGCACACAAACATTTGAGTTTATGTTGGGATTTACCAAATACATTAGTGACTGAGTAAGCTACTGATGAAGCACACAAAAGCTGATCAACCAGTTCCATGTAAAAGATGTGTTTTCTTTTTTTAAGAGGTTGGCTTTCAATTGATCAATCAAAGACGCCTCAATTACAAAGTAATTACAGTTGCCGTCTGTTTTGTCCTATTGGATCCATTTCATTCTAAAACAAATTTGTAGAATATTTCCAAGGCGTAGGGATTATCTCTTTTTTCAAGAGATAATGAATCAAAATCCCCCCTAAACTATCACATTTTTATTAGTTTCATACTTAAACTATGATTAGCTTATGTTACCCCCATAAACTATAATTTTCAGGTGCTAATCCCCCTCTAAACTATCACATTTTTATTAGTTTCAGACTTGAACTATGCCTAGTTATGTTACCTCCTTAACTTACTTTTCAGGGGCTAAAACCCCATGCTTGACATATGGCAAAGTGTGTGGCGTGAGGGGGAGAAAAGCCATCTACGTGGCTTTTACAATGGCTAAGTAAGTCATGGACTAAACAAAATAAAGGAAGGTGACAGAAAAAGAACTTGTGAATATATAAATATGTTCTTCAATCTCTCAAACTTTAGGACTTTTTCGTTAACAATACTTGATTCATACCTTTAAACACAAGATACGATAAAATCAAAAAAACTATAATTGTGAAATCAAACTTTGTTATGGTATTTATTATAAATTTTGTTATTTTGATGGTGGTGAGAAAGTGATTTTCATATTATATTGTTGGCTTCGTATTTTTTCTAATACAACTTACATTTCACTTTGTAAGGTATCTTTCAATCACATATCACTTCTATATTTATTTATTTTGAAATTGGTAACTTTGTGTATTTCTATCTATGATTAAGATCATTCAATACATTGGTTGTACTTGCACCATATTTACATCAAAAGACTCATAAGAAACTGGAGCTATTCTAGTCTTCTATAGAGAGCTTAATACATCTAGAATTTCAACAGTTTCTACCGAGTGAGACTGTCTACACCAAAAACTAAAGATCAAAATACAATTCATATTCATCTGTTGGATAGAGTTGCTCCTATTTTCAAAACATCTGGAATTCCTCTCTTTCCATATCGTCCACCACATACAAGCTGGAACCATTCTCCATCTTCCTCTATCTCTGACCTCTGACCTCCAAACCTGCTTCTTCCCAACTTGCTAGAGTTTCAGAAATCTTTCCGGGCATTATCCATGGTTATACTTCTGAGTGCCAAGAACATCCTCCATACTTGACCAGTTATTTTGCAGTGGAGGAAAAGATGATTAACTGTCTCTGTAGTTTCCTCACATAGGCAGCATCTGGGACAAATAGTAATCCCTCTTTTCATCAAGGTATCTTGAGTAAGAACTGCTTCTCTTGCCAAAAGCCAGACAAAACATGAAACCTTATATGGTATCTTAGCCTTCCAAATGTGCTTCCAAGGCCATTCTACCATTTGATGATTGGTTTGGTTCATATATTTGTAAGTTGCATTCACTTTGTAAGCACCACTGCTGTATCCATTCCACCATAATCTGTCAGCCCCTTTTTGTAAGCCTCCGAAAGCTCCTAGCAGATTGAAGAAAGCAATCACCCTACTCACCTCCCAGTCATTAGGCATTCTTCTGAAGGTAATATCCCAACCTTGGTTTGACCACTGTTCTGCCATTGTATTATGTTGATGAAGTACAAGATTGTAGATGTCAGGGAATTTCTCTTGTTAACTCTCAGTCCCTAGCCATATATCCTTCCAGAAAATAGTTTTACTACCATCTGCAACTTTGATGGTGCTTCTGTTTTTCAGCAAAGGCCATAAGACCCTGATAGATCTCCATAAACTAACCCCATAAGGAGTGTTGATCTCCTTTGTCATCCATCTGTCCTCTTCCTCATACTTTGTCTTGATAGCCCTTACCCATAACATTTGGTCTTCTAGTGTGTATCTCCAAAGCCATTTTATTTTTAAAGTCTTATTCTGAAACGTCAGATCTCTGAGTCCCAGTCCCCCCTTCTTCTTACTCACTGTTAAAGCCTTCCATTTCACCAAGTATAAACCTTGTTCTCCTTATTTCCTTGCCACAAGAAAGATCTTCTTACTCACATATTACTTCTATTACCCTCCTTTATTTCAACCATCTTATTATGATATCATATAAAATATCTTTATCTATCATTGCCATTTTCCTAGGAGACTGAGCATAAATATGTGACTCGTCATGATTGTATCTAACATCACTTCACCTTACTATGGGTCCAATCTAAAGTGCATATATTATGTCTTATTGATATATTTTAAACAGTAACTCTTCATAATGCTTCTGCAAAGTACAGTTTTTTGGCTGATGACTTCAGTTGTTTATTTAATAAGCAGAATATCATTTAAAAATAACACGCACCATGGAACCTTATCCTATATACTTGTGGTTAGCTCATTCAAAGCTAGAGTCAGCCGGTTCACTCATTCACAAAGGTAAACAAGTTGGGGCATAAGGCAGATCCCTGGTGTAAATCCACATATTCCTCTGTATCTCTTTTTCATTTTCACACTAGTTACTGCTCCATCATAATATCCTGAAATTCATTTGATTGATATGAGTTCCTTTCTTCTCAAGCACTGAACAAGGTACTTTTCTTAGCTTTTTATTATATGTTTTATCTAGGTCAATTACTACCCAACGAAGACCCCTCCCTATAAACTTCCATCAATATTTTCAGCAAAAATATAACCTCAATTATAGATCTACTCAACTCCGACTTCAATGAGGAATGCCCTATTCAAAAAAAAATATAGATCTACTAAGCATAAATACAATTGATCCTTTTTCAACCTCACAATATCTCCAAATCTATGGTTTATCACTCTTTCCCATCATTTTATCATGACCCTAGGTTTGATACCATAATAGTGTTCAAAACTTTGAATGTCTCATTTAATCTTATATATTAGAATGAAGGATACCCTACTCATTTGGCTACTTTGTAGTTGTTAATATAACATTGAATAGCTTGGTTAACCTTAACCATACTACTCCAACCTCTCCAAAGCACTTCCAAAAATTATATAGGAAGGTCATCTACAGCACCGGTTCTTTTAACCATTTTCAAGGCATCGCTACTTAATTTTGACCTAATTTAACATGTGGCCCTACTGGTTTTTGACTGTCACAATAAAAATATATAAAGTTATCTCCCCAACCTCCCAAAAATCAATCCCCATGCCCTCAAGTTTAGAAACCCTTTTTCAACCAAACTTTCTACTATGTCTACCTCTTTTCATCATTTCCTGCTTAGAATTCCCTCACGAAATACAAAATTATAAGACTCTGAGTCTACTATATAGTGCTCTCATATTAGGAGTCAAAATGTGCTAGCTTAATCTATTATCTATAGGGCCTCGTACTAGACATCCCTCTAAGAATACTACACCATCATATCACTATAATCAAAAGAACTCAAGCTCTAATCAAGAAGTACTAAACTCCTAGTATCATGGTCTGCGACTCTATCAATCACAATATTCAAGCGTAACGTTTCTACACCCACTTTATGGATCTCCTAACCGAAAATCAGTAACTTAAATCATTTTCGTATGGATCTACACCAAATATCCCATTTCTAACGATTACACATAATAAATGATCATCTCACTCTTCCCCCCTTTTACCTATAACCTTAGCTCGAATTTCCACGCTACAACCTTCCCAATAAGGAATCATTTACTCTCTTATATATATCATTGCTCCCTTTCTTTAAAACACCATAACATAACATCATAACATAAGGGAGGTCAGTGAGGTATTAGAGTACGGGTTTCAAGAAAGAGGAGTAATGCTATTCAATTATGACTCATATTTATTGCACTACTCAAGGGAGGAGTAAGATATGGTAAAATAGGTACGAATACGTCATCTATAAAACACACAAAGAATAGAGAAATGATCATTCTGACATACATATAACGTGGCATGAGTTCTTAGGAAACGACCATATCGGGAAACATAAGTTTATAGCTCACGATCAGGGTACCACAAAGTTTTGGGATCCATCGAATATTAGGGTGAAACTAGAGTTACCAAATGTGACATTTTTCTCCTAGTTCGAGGAGTGAAACATGCTTTAGAATTTGCATGAAGTGCTTGGGCCTTAGACATAGGTATGGAATGAGTGTGTAAGATATGAGACACGTGACATCTTGGTCTTAGTCATAACATGATACAAATTGGCAACCTACAACAGAGTAAGGTTGTTTCGAGTTGAGTATAACATGAAACACAACCTTAAGGATCATGAGCATCACATCATCGTACTTGAATATCTAGAAGTTTAGAGGGGAACTTGTATTAATTGAGAAACATTATTGCTTTTGGTCAACAAGTCAGACATGAACATAAGTGTGCATATCAAATCTGGATCTCAAACATAAACATGGCTAGAATGAATAAAACATAGGTAGAGTGTCTTCTTAAACAGAAGTACAAGGGATACATTAGAATAAGAAGGGATACCTATGGAACTCATCATAGACCCCTCTATTAAACTCAAGGCATGCCATGGTCCAAACCTTATCATCTCACCTTAGTTCCAAGGTCACCATCCTAGGTTTGTAGACCTATTGTATTAACAGATCTATAAGCACACTATTCAATGCGAAGGGGAATTTTATACACATGAATACTATATTTGGAAGGTACCACTTCTTTCTA